AAAAAAAAAAAAAAAGAAAGGATACTTGGGTTCTGATACAGTATCTGTGTAATCACCAACACTTTTCTAAATGCAGTAATGAACATTTCAAACAATAAATGAAAATGAAACTAAGAATTAGGGCTGGGAGCGGTGGCTCATGCCTATAATCCTAGCACTCTGGGAGGTTGAGGTGGATGGACTGCCTGTGCTCACAGGTTCAAGACCAGCCTGAGCAGGAATGTGACCTCGTCTCTAAAAGTAGCCCAGTGTTGCAGTGGGTGCCTGTAGTCCCAGCTGCTTGGTATACTGAGGCAAGAGAACCACTTGAGCCCAAGGTTTTGAGGTTGCCGTGAGCTATGACGCCACAGCACTCTACTGAGGGGAACAAAGTGAGACTGTTTCCCCTCCCCCCCAAATGTGCATTTCTTTGGTGATTGGGGACTATGAGCATTTTTTTTAAATATTTGTAATCCATTCCTGTGTCTTCCTCAGAGGAGGTTCTGTTCATGTCTCTAGCCCAGTGACAGAGGAGATTGTTAGCTCTTTTTTTTTTTTTTGAGATAGCATCTCACTTTGTCACCCTAGGTAGAGTGCGTTGGTGTCACAGCTCACCGCAACCTCAGACTCTTGGGCTCAAGCGATTCTCTTGCCTCAAGTGCTAGGATTACAGACATGAGCCACCAAGCCCGGCCTTGTTAGCTGTTTTTTGTTGATTAATTTGAGTTCTCTGTATATCCTAGTTATCAAGCCTTTATCAGATTTGTAATATGCAAATATTTTTTCCCATTCTGAAGGTTGTTTGTTTGCTTTGGTTGTTGTCTCCTTAGCTATACAGAAGCTTTTTGGTTTCCTTAAGTCTGTTTATTTATTTTTGTTGTTGTTGCAGTCGCATCGGAAGTCTTCATAAAATCTTTCCCCAGGCCAACATCTTCAAGAGTTTTTCTCACACTTTCTTTCTAGGATTTTTATTGTTTCAAATCTTAGGTTTAAGTCTTTTATCCATCTTGAATCAATTTTTGTAAGTGGTGAGAGGTGTGGGCCCTACAGACAGTCCTTAAAGGACTGTGTCCTTTTCTTCTGCTGCCTGAGAGCCTGGGCAAAGAGACTGCATGTTGGCCTTGTAAGGTAGGCAAAGTGGGCACTGTCGGGTGGGCAACAAAGAGAGAGAGCTATGGAAGGAGCCGGCTAACCTCAGACTGAGGTGAGGAGCGGAGCACATTGTTCTGCTCTTAAAGGGTCCATGTAGTCCCCCTCCTCTTCTCCAGCTTGGTGGTCCTAGATCAGGAACAAAGGTCTCTACATGTGACTGGGCATCCAAAGAGTTGCGAGCCCCAGCCCAGCCCCTCCACCCCTCCACCCCTCCACCTCCTGATACAACCATGGGCTCTGGCAGTGAGTAGGTGGCCACTCTCTGCCCCTGTGGGTCAGCAATGATTCTCTGCACTCCTGGCTAGTCTTGGGGAAGGTAGGAAGGAGCTTCCTGGTCCTGGGGCTGGGCTGCCAGCCTGGGTGGGGCACAGAGGCTGGGACTTGGGCACAGGGCCTCAGCTATCTTTCCTCCTTCATGAGGGTAGTAACCCTGGCTTTTCTCCTTGCTCTTTGAATGAGTAGACCCTGCAGTCCTATCAGGGCCTCCTCTCTCCTTATGAGGGCCCCTCCCAATAGCCGCTGACTTAGCTACCACGCCTATCATAGAGGAGTACTGAACTTACACTGCCAGTGGAAGCCCCCAAGTGCTGCCCCCAGCTGCCCAGCAGAGCCTGTTCG